AACAAAGAGCCTAACAGAATTATTGAAATGTGAGTTTGGCCAGAAAGGAAGCTTCAGTAAAGCTGTAGACTGCAAAGATAAAGCAGATCTTGATTACTGAGAAGGAACAAGAGAATAGAAACAATGGTCTGAGGGTATCACAAGAGGCAGCAGGACTCTACCCTTTGCAGTCTAAAAATTGCAAAAGTGAAAGACTTTGCTTTGAGAAGCCTCAGAGCACCATGTTCCAGAATGGCAGAATCTGAACCATGTTTCACTTGGGTGGGGACCACACCATGTTTCAGAATGTTGACAGCCTTGAGAAGTTGTCCCTCAGCATTGGACTGAGCGTGCCCATTGATCCAGGCAACCAACAGAGAGAGAATCCTGAGTACTACTCCAGCTGTTAGCATATCTTGGCATCGTCCACATGGAGCTGGTTTTAAGCACATGTGGAATTCAAGAGTTGTGGAGTCAGGAAGGATTCCATCTAGATTTCCAAAGGTCTGGGAGGCAAGGCAGTGTGTCCTTGAGATGGCAATGTGTGAAGCTGTGAGGTGGAAGCCAAGAGTGCAGTGGAAATTCTAGAAATGTTCAGAACCCACAAATGTGGATCATCTGAGGAAAACTGCAAGGAGGGAGCAGAGTAGGCCCAAGAAAGAAGCCATGGGAGATCCAATCACTGCAAGTGTCATAGGGCCTCAGTCACTTAAGCGCCTTGATGTTCATATCTTGTTACAGATTGCTAGGGATGCTGGACATAAAACTATAAGACTTAATATTTGCCTTCCTGGATTCTGGACTTGCCTTGTCCCATTCCTTTGTGTTATCCTGTTTTAACTTTTGGAATGGAAGTGTCTATCTTATACCATTGAATGTTGGTACAACTTTATTTTCACTTGCATAGAGGCTTGAAGTTAAGAGTTTTCCTTAAATATCAGGGAAGGACCCAAGTAGATGGCTCAGTAGAATAAACACTTCCCTGGCAAGCTCAAGGGTCTGAGTTCAATCACTGCTTCCACCAAAAAAAAAAAAAAAAATCTCAGGGAAGATTTTGGACTTTTAGAATTTTGACACTGTTGGAGATAGACTAAGTGGTTTTTGTGTAAAGGGCTATGCATGAGTCTTTTGGTAGTCCAGGGTTGGAACATTATGGGGTTGTGTCTAGATGTTCCTCCAAAGTTTCATCAAGTCATAAGGCTTTTTCAGAGGTGGTAAATCTAGAGTGTGTGATTGATTGGTAGTGCAATGCTGGGATTAAGGCCTTACTCAGTAAGGATTGAGTATGAGGGCTATATCTACAAAGGGTGGGTATCCTACATACAATATTAGGCACAGAAAGAGTTTCGTCTTTCTCTTGTTTTTGCTGCCTTCTGCTACCATGAATGGTCCCTCAGTCATGTGCCACCCTGCCTTGGGAGCCAGCTAATTATGGACTAAAACCTCTGTAAAATGTGAGATACATAAACCTTCCTTTAACTTTGGGTGCTGCTTCCTTTAATTTCTGTTTCAGTAACAAAAAAAGTAACTAAATGCAACTAGAGACAGTACTTATAAGTGAAAAATCAGACTTGCATGTGTAAACATTTTATTGTCTCCCTAGTAGAAGGACCTGAATGCGTAAATAAAATCTGAAAGGTACAATAGATATTGTGAAAGGGAAAGAAATTTCTCAAAAGGAAAGAACATCTGGGATGGGGGAAAGGAGAAATAAAGGAAGGGATAGCTAAGATAATTGTGCTACTAATTTCTATTGGTTTATTGAAAGGAACAGTTAATGCCTAAATGATCAGTTTTACATGCCTCCATCTGGTAATCTGGCTAACTTTCTTTTTTTTTTTTTTTCTTGGCTGAACCAGGGATTGAACTCAGGCCCTTGCGTTTGCCAGCCAGGCAAGTGCTTATTGTACTGAGCCATCTCCCCAGCCCTATATCTGATAATTTGAACAACTACTTTGAAGATAGCAATATGCAGTATAACAACCATTGTTAATTTACTACATATTTTTTAAATTTCCTACATTTTGTTTTGAAATTGAGTATTGTTTTTATTGTTTATTTTTTATTCTCTTTAAAATAAAAGAAAAGTGACTAAGACCATAACCAAACCCAAAGCCTTTGGATAATATCTTTTCACGTTATATTTAGCATTCCATATATATATATATCTCCATATATATATATATATATGTATGGTAAGATATATATATAGTAAGATATATATATGTATGTAGTCCATGTGTTCCCCATGTGTTACAGAGCATGGTGGGATAACTTTCTGTTTTTATTTCTAATCTTAGTCATTGAAATCCCTAACAGTGGGCTGGGCTTCAGAATTGTTCATTTAGAATTCCCATCTGGAATAATAATAAAATATTTACTTTGATAAAGTGCTTTATATGACTAAATCACACATCACTTATGATATTAAAGTTGAATTCATATTGAAGGATGGAAAAAATACCACTGTTGTGTGATAATGCTTTGGAAATAGTTTATAGATTATACAAATGCACTGAGACTGCACTTAATGCTAGAAATATGTCTCTAAGAAACAAGGATTAATCCCTTTTATTTATGTAACAAGCAGGTGCTCTGCTAAGGAGTGTCATGAAAATAAACAGTAATGTTTGTAGTTCAGTGTTAATGTTTCTTGTCTTCCCCTGCCAAGATAGAGGACCTCTGCAGAGTCTCCCTTGTGGGGTATTTCTCAGGGTCCACAGTCTGTCTTCATTGAGTCCAGCTGCTGCTGCACCAACACTTTGGTCTATTGCCTGCTGGTGCGCTCTGCTGGACATGTCCACCAGTGTGTCTGCTTCAGCTAAAACTGCGGGATGGGCTTGCGTGAAGTGGGGGAATATGGTGTCTGTGTCTGTGTTCTGTGCTATAAGAAGGATCTGAAAGTAGTGCCAGTATTTACCAGTGTTTTAAGAGAAACAGTTGTATAGAATTTTCATTGTAGGTTTTCTTTGTACCCAACAAGATATAGGCATAGATCCAGTGAGAGTTGTCTGTGTTAGGATCAAGTTTAATCCATAGAAAGTGGTACTTGACACTGCCACTCTTTTGACAGTAAGATTTTCTTACCTGATGAGGGTCAATGTGTTTAGCTGCTTCTCATAGCCTTGGGGTTTGCAGTCACTTTTTGATTAGTTTGCACTGTAAATTCCAAAACTTCCCCAAACATGCCTGAGTCCTACCTGGACATAACTGATGACTACATTTCTCTGCTCTTACCTTTAATACCAAATTGTGCCAGCTGCTTCTTGGATTTCCCTGTGTCTTTCTATGGACTTTTGGAGCGGTACCTCTACCTAGAAATTTTTGCTTACTCACTACCCACAAGTCCATCTGAATCTCCAGTTTCTGTTTTTCTGAGGATAATAGTTCATCTGTGGCTCTTTGATATGTAGTAGGATCCTTTTTGAGTCTAGTCTTTGATGTGCTACAACTTCTGGAAATTCCTTACAGATAGATACCTTCTAACTTGTAGTATTGGTACTTTGTGTCTGTTTTGTGTACTACTTTATGCTTTTGGGGTAGAGTGGGGCAAATATGATTTGGCTCACCATTTTTATTCACTATTATTGCTCTTTTGTTTGTAATGATAATTGAGAGAAGTTGATTCTTCTGCTTTTTTTTTTTTTTTTTCTTGTATTTTAGGAAAGGATCTACAGGGTGTTCATGGTCTCACTACTAGATTGGATTTGTAGTGATCCGCCAGTTTACAGCCTCTCAAGAGCTGGGATTACAGGTGCATGCCACCAAACCCAGTCTCAATTGCTGTCTCAGTGTGCCCCGGGGGCGGGGCCGGCTCAGCAGGCCCAGGGATCAAACCCCTGGCCCCTGCGCTTGCTTGCAGGTACTTTAATCCGCTGAACTATTTGGTCGGCCCTTCTGCTGCTTTTAGATGGTAATATTTACTCAGGAAGCCTGATGTGCTGTTTTTTGTAAAGTATACATTTGTTATGGGTGATTTTATTTAATATATACTAATTATTTTAATAACTTGAGATTGTTTGTTTGAGACAGAGTCTCACTACACAGTTCAGGCTTTCCTTGAAACCACTATGGGGCCTAGGCTAGCTTTAAACTCAAGGCAATCCTCCTATCTCAGCCTCCCAAACGCCTGGGATTACAGGTGTTTGCTACCACACATGGTCAGGCTGGCTTGGACCTCACTAAATAGCCAGGCTGGCTTTGATCTCATTGTAATCTTCCTGCCTCAGGACTGTAGGCATGTGCCACCATACCCAGCCCTGAGCTTGCTTTAAATCTATGTTTTTACTAATATAGTTTTTCAAATCAATTGAAAACGCAGAATTTACATGTATTAATTAAGAAATGAGTTTTAAAGAGAATTCCTAAATCATTGCTTAATTAGGAATGTATTAAGTTAGAGCAGATAATTCCTATAAGAGAAACTACTTCATTATTTTAGTTTCTGATGAATCCATATGCCTTAATTTTTTATGTTGTATATTTATTTTTAACATTTATTGTAGTGAATGTGAAGGAAAAATCATGGTTGATTTCTTATGTCACAAATATATATTTTTGTATTAAAAGATTCATTTTTTCCTCAAGCATTAGCAAAAAAATTAATTGGCTTAACACTTTGTTTATTGTTAACCATTTGTATGAACATTATTTTAAATTCATTGTAGTTATGTTATTTAATATCAGTTTGTTTTCATTTTCCCAATTTGTTTAAGATAATTTTAATAGATGTTTCCCTTCTCCAAATAATACAGCCTCCCTCCTTCCTTTTAGAAAGACGAGCAGCTAATTTTCTTTACCCTTAAAGGTGTAGGCTGTTCTGCCAAGGGCAAGGCTGTGCATGCTGGTTGAGGACATGCAGGTGTGAGAGGCAGTTCTCAAGGACCCTGGTGGAGCTGGAGTGGGATAGGATGTAGCAGGGACAAACTCCTTTGAGGCCACTTTTGCTTTAAATTTAAACTTAAGTCAAAATATTGTTTTGCAACTTATTTGCTTACCTTTTTTTGTTTGGTTTTGCTTAGGATGTTTCCGTTGCAACTGTGAAATACAAAGGAATACATTTTGGGAACTCTCCAGGAAGAAAAGAGCTACCTAAAAAATCAGGTCCTGGACCTGGACAGTATGACATAGACAAGTAAGTAAAAGCAATATACTGTTTAATATACTGCTTAACTATAAATATTCTTCTCACTCAGGCTAGGCTATCCTGTTAGGAAAGAAAAATTAGTATGAAAAACTCTCAAAAATACTACTTTTTAAAGTAACCTATGCTGAAAACTGTTAGTTTTTAATGAGCCATATCTGTAGCACCTGCTTACATGTATTACCTCATTTAATCTTCACAGCAAGTCTCCATGTATTTACTATTATGTATATCCTATCAGTGAAGAATCCAAGGGTCAGAAGATGAATAACATTGAACATGTGACCATTGAAGTGGCAGAACTCAACTTTCACAGATACCTATTTGTCTGCACAGCCTATTTATCTATGTACTAAGATATACTATGCTTTTTGTAAAGTAGGCAGAAGGTCAGAGAAAATTATAAAAAGATAGTCAAGATTTCTCATCTTATCTCTGGCTCTTTTTTCTTTTTTAAAATATGTATTTGGTTGCTGTTGCAGGGTCTCACTACATAGTTTGGACTCGTGCTGATCCTCCTGCTTTCAGCCTCCTCAGCTCTGGGATTACAGGCATGCCCCATCATGCTTGGTCTAGGTGGCTGGCTCAGCATGCCTGGGGTGAGGCTGGCTCGACATGTGGTGCCAGGGATCAAACTGCGGTTCCGGCACTTGCCTAAGCTCATCTAAGCAGTCACTTTAGTCTGCTGAGCTATCTTTCCAGCCCCTTATCCCTGGCTCCTGTCTCCATTCTTATGACCATGTAATGGTTTTGGAAGACATTCTCAGTGTGGCATTCTCAGCAGTAATGTTAGGATGTTAGGATATGGATAATAGCTACAAAGTTTAATTTGTAAATACATTTCTGGTAAAATAGCTACTCCTGTCCTTATTGCTTTTTACACTCATAGTAAAGCCTCAGATATGAATTCATGGAAGGCAGCATTAATAGATAGCATGTAGTCCTCAGATTCTGCTATTTCTTTTCTTTTTTTTTTTGTATTTTTAGGGAAGGGTCTACAGGATGTTCAGGGACTCACTATTAGATCGGACTTGTGGTGATCCACCTGTTTATAGCCTCCCAAGAGCAGGGATTAAAGGTGTGTGACCACCAATCCCAGTCTCAATTGCTGTCTCAGAGCACCCGGGGGGCAGAACTGGAATAGCAGACCAGGGAATCAACCCACGGCCCCTGCGCCTGCTTGCAGGTGCTTTAATCTGCTGAGCTATTTGGCTGGCCCATGCTATTTCTTTAAATGGTTACATTTTAAACATAGATTCCAGTTTATCTGCCTGGTGGTTTTGCTCCCACAGCATGGACATAACTTGGGTTCTTGTTTGGACAACACTACTACAAAAACATTTAGTTCATGTTGTGTCAGTACCGAACTCAAAAACTAAGAATGAAAAGAATAAAACAAGACCATTTTTGTGGGGGGATCTTATACTCTAGTCCATTGTCCTTTTTTCATTTTATACTTTTCCTAATATGAAATTTATACCTTTGTATTTAGTTATGCTAGAAACTTACCATGCACATTTAGCTTAATGTAGTCTATACTTTTATGATTAGCATTTTTCTAAACATACCCGTAGACTATTCTAGCTCTTATCAGCCCCCCTTATGACATATACCTTTGTTGCTTAGTATCACCTGGCCCAGATTGGATGGTCTGCCTCCTGTTGTCCTCCTTCTTGTCTCATGGAAATTAAAGAATAGAAAGGATTTAGGACTCCACTCAGGGTCAGCTCTGGATTGGCTTGCGAGTTTTTCCTACCATTCTTTTTTTACTTCCCCAAACTTGTGCCATTTCCATATTCCTTTCTTTGATCTGTTTTTAATTTCATCTATTTTTCCTCTTTGTTTATTTGTATTTTTCCTTTTTACTTGCAAGGATGAGTTCATATAAAGTGCATGCTTAACTGCTTCAATTAACTACTTTCAAAATTTACTATTTGGTTAGACTATCTTTACTGTATCTTTTCTTAGAAGTTTGTCATGATTCCTTCTGGCAGTTGACATTTTATACTTTGTTTGTTTGTTTTGTTGTATTTGAATTTTGAAGCTTAATTTATTGACTCAGAATTGTTCTCAAAGATTTGATAGAGTACCAATGACAGTTGGCCACCCTAAGTGGAAAAATGTTTATGGATGTTTATGTTTATTTTTGGACACAGACCTAAATGATGTCTGACATTTCTGATATCCCAGATACAAATTTGTTTTCTATATTTGAAGACAAGCTTAGTTTTTTGAATTTTACACAAATAATAGTCAATGAAAATTCTTTAATAGTGAGCTGACATGGTAAATGCACATTTTGATCATTGTACTGCTAACAATGAAAATAATGGCAATTTTTACATAATAAACTTTTGTTTTATGTTTTTATTATCTATTTTAAAATATTTGTATGTTGAATATAATTCTTGGGGAACATTGGATATAAAATTTCTTAGAGATTCTGGTTAAAAATAGTAGTATAGACGACATATGCGTAGGTATTTCTTGCTATGTTATAGCTAACAGCTATTGTGGGCTTATTACAGGCCCTTTGTGGCACTAAGGACTTCATGTGAATTTTCTACTTTAATCATTGCATTCTTTAGAACTGGTTATTAGTGTTTCCATTTACAGATGAAGAATCTGAAGCTGTGAGAAGTTAGCTAATTTGCTTAATGTAATGTAGATTTCTGTAGGGTTGTCTGACTCTAGAACTTGAACTCTCTTTTGCTACTCTCTTGAGGTTATCTCAATTTCACTGAAAAAGTTTCTCTTTCATGATCACAGATTATTATGTCTTTTTCCTGATTACCTTGGGATATAAATAACAGAGGCCCCACATCCCTTATTTTAGTAGTAATTGAAGTGCCAGGATTTTATAATTTTAAACTTGTAGAATGCACAGGAAAAAAAAATTGGTGGTTTTTTTTATATTAATTCATGATATAGCTCTCAGATACCGTTTTCTATTTAGCACAACTTTATAATAATGATCTGAACTGGAAAAAGCAGAACTATGTAACATAAAAGATGCATTTTTATAAGATTTTAAATTTATTGGTCAAATCTTTAAGATATTTCTCTTATTGTATAAAGTAAGAAATACAACATTCTTTTTGCTTATATACATTTTTATGTATTTAAAATTGAAAACTTTCAATTTACATATGAATTTTCTAAAGGGAAAAGACACTATACTGTGAAAATATTAATATCAAGAAAGATCAACAGCAAGATTATTGTTCCAGTATCCCACGATTTTATGAAATAATAGAATTGCAAGAGGAAAAAAAGGTATGTTAAAAAGTGACTATTTCATCTTTTCTCCAGACTTTAAAATCATTAAGTCCCTTTTTACAAGGTTAAAATTCTCTTAGATCTAATAATATATGTGTTAGCTGTGCCCCTCAATGAATACCATAGAAGGGACTGCAGTAAGTACCTCTGTCAAATGGTCACATCCTGTGCTCAAACATTTCTTGTCTTAAGGAACTCATTATTCCTAAGTTTTGTTTTAGTGTAACACGTTTTCCCCCAGATATGTTCTCAAACTTACCTAATTCCCAACTTCCTACCTGTTTTCATTCTCTCTTGTATGATTTCTTAATCAGTCTCCCTTTTTTCTCTAGTAAGGATAAAAGTTCCAGGTACTTTTGTAGTTAACTTCAAGGTCATGCACAATATTCTGGATAGAGTCTAATTTGGATTTATTGTTTTTGTTTTCCTTCTTCCAGCTAGTATATATTTGCTAAGATAAAAATCCATTTTAGTACATATTCTGCTTTTTGTAGCTACATTTCAGTTTACTTGTTTGGAACTCAAAGTCAAGTAATACTGGAATTTATTTTATTTAAACTTAAGAATTATAGTATGAAAATTTAAGAACAGATACATTTAGACTAAGGGTAACTAATTCTGTGTTGAAAAGTCAGCAACTATTTCAGAGAGAATTTTTTCCCCAAGACTTTCTTGGTTTTCTGAATATTAATGATCAAAGAAAAATATTTTTTCTTTATCAGAAATAAAACATTGTAATATTAGAAAAGCATATTAACACAATAATAATATGGTTGTTTTCTAAAAATACCAAATATATACCTCAAAGCAGATGAAAAGTATTAATTTAAAATCAGAATATTCCATTAGCTATAATCATTTCAAAATATACTTATAAAAAGGTGAAAAAACTTTTTTTTTTTTTTAAAAAAAACCCTTTTTAAATTAAGGTCTTTATCATAGACTGAGTTTACACTTAATATTTTACTTCAAATGGCAGTAAAAATATACAGAAATTACAGGGAGAAAATAATTTTCATTATAAGTTGACTTTCAAAGGAAAACCTTACTATTACATTTTATTTCTTTAAAGAGAAAAAACAATTAAAAAACAATGATGCAGAATTTTAGGGTTGGGAATATAGCTCAGCAGCATAAGCACTTGCCTGGCAAGCCTAAGATCCTGAGTTCAATCCCTGATACCAAAAAAAAAAAAAAAAAAAAAAAAAAAAAAAAAAAAAAAAATCAAGACAACGTAATAAGAGACTAGCAGTGGTTGATATTTTGCATATTATTCTCTTCAAAGTAGTTGCTCAGATTATAAAATACAGGCATGCATAATTGATCAAACAATGTGAGCACAAACCATTTTCTTTTCAATGAACTAAAAGAAATCAGCAGTGAAGCTATATATAGGCCTTTTCTCCCTTTGATCTATTCTTATTCTTTCCTTTTTAGCAGTTTCTTTTCCTTTCACAATATACTATTACATTAAAAAAAATCCTTTCATAGTATTACCCTACTTTGCCAGATGTCATGCGTATAATTCCAGCACTCAGCAGGCTGAGACAGGATGCCCGCTGAGTTTGAGCCTGACCTGCACTACCTAAAGAGTTCAAGGTCAGCCTGAACTACATGGCAAGACTCTGTGAGACACCCCCCCTCCAAAAAATAGTATTACTCTACTTTTGTTGATAGAAGGTAGCTGTGGTCTGAGATTTTTATTTTGTTTTGAAATTGTGCAATAGTCAATAAACAACATGATAATTGATACCAGGGGCATAGATTTCCTTTATTTAAATATTAATGTTTGTTTATTTTTTCTTATTCTTATTAACTATAAATTTTCACTTGATTCTATTTCCTGAGCATGGGGCTATGTATTCTTTAGCATTGTGACTTTACTGTTTCACATAGTAGTTAAAACATGGTAAGGACTTAGTACTTATTTAATAAGTGCATGTATTTTTCTTAAATACTGACATCGTTTTATATTTTATAGAGAAACACATTTTTTAAAAAATTTGAAATATTGTTTTCTGTATTTCTGCAAATATTTTGACATATTAACTTTTTAGATTGCTTTCAGGAAAATACTTTTTGAATACATTTTTCTTTAGTTTTCTACTTATAGTTTTGACTTCCACTTACTCTCTTTTCCAATTACAATTATTGTAACTCATATGCTGAAATATTACTTCAATATTAGCCTACTGTACATCACTGTTATTTGCCTGGAAAAACTCTAGAAAAAAATAAATGGTAATACTACAAATCTTGGTGTACTTGGAGACTAGGTCGGGGAAAATGTGACTGTTCCAAAGAGCTGAATAATTTATTGGTTCTTATTAGAGAGATCTGATACACACCTAAATTTGACCTAATTGAAGGATATTTACCACTAACTATATATGTGCTTTGAAGTACATTCTTTTTCAATATGTGACTTTACGAAGAGATTTGCTTCTTTTTGCATCATAACTATATGAAATATGCCTCTTTTCTTTTAAAGTTATCTCTGAGAACAGTTATGCTAAAATAAGGATTTTGATGTGCCAAAGAGCATTTATTATTAAAACAATAAAAAGTATTTGTATTTTCTGCATATTTAATAACCAAAAATATTTTGCTCAAAATGAGAATTTTTCTATCAGTAAATCTCAAAGTTACAGAAAAAAATTAAAAGTACCTTTTATTTCTTTATAAATCATAAAATGAACAAGAAATTGAATGAACTAATTAAGGTAAAAGGGCTTTAATGTACATGTCACTTCTCAATGCTTTACTGTCATAGCAAGCATTTGTTCTTAAGTTACATATGATTGTAACTTAAGTTTTAAGGTAAATAGGAGGAGATGGCTTCTTCCTAAACTGTATACTTCTTGGCTCATATGATGCTAAATGGTAGTTGTCCAATGATTATGATGACATGGAATCAAATTTTCCATTATTATGTTCACAGCTAAGTGCTGTGTGTGTTTGTGTGTGTGTGTGTGTGTAAGCAAAAGAAGAGAAGACAGATGACTTGTGAATGTTGAGTTTGGATGAATGTGTTCTCAGAAATGGTTACAGTAAACTTCTCACTACAGTGAGCAGACAGATAAGTTTAGTTTGAAGCAATTGAACTTTGAAAAAAATTATCTAAAGAAAGTGAAAATTGGAAAGTGGGGAATTTCAAATTTGTGGATGAAAGTGTAGATTTGTCAGTCATGCGTTTGTCATGATTTTTGAATAAGTTTATTACAGATCTGAAAATGAGTTGTTTTGCTTTGAAACTAGAATTTAGGGAAATAATACTTAGGATTTCTTTTTCCTTTTTTAAAACATTTTTTAAATTTTTTTGTATTTTAGGGAAGGGTCTACAGAGTTTCAGGGTCTCACTACTAGATTGGACTCATAGTGATTTGGCTTTTTACAGCCTCCCAAGAGCTGGGATTACAGGCACATGCCACCACACCCAGTCTCAATTGCTGTTTTAGCATGCCCTGGAGGCGAGGCAGGCACAGCAGACCCGGGGATCAAACCTCTGACCCTGTGACTGCTAACAGGTGCTGTAATCCGTTGAACTCTTTGGCCAGACCTAGGATTTCTTTTTCCTGAGATTGATATGATTGCCTTAGTATCTAAGTTTTTTTTGTGTGTGTGTTTCAATAATTTTATGGAATGATATATCTCTTAGTACCAAGATAATGGTAGATGATTATGTTATCTCCTCCAACTCAAAATAAATACTGATGCTTTCAAAATACTGAAATATAACAGCCTTTTGGTAAAACTGAAGATACCCACAAAATACTATTTACAAAAAGTTAAAGATAGAATATGCTATGGTTCTTTGGTTTACTTTTCAGTGTGTATTTATCTTTAACATGATATCAAAATCGGTCACACTCATTCTGAATAGACTCAGGTGTCAGGCCTCACTGAGTTACTGTTCACACTTACGAGTATATATACATCTCCTTACATTCATTTGTTCACATGAAAAAGTCCAAATGCTCTACCTAAGTGATCTCATAATTATAGAGGTGCCTACTTACTTTTCTTAAGACATGATATAGAAATTTGTGAAAGTATATTCTTTTTTTTTGGTGGTACCGGGGATCAAACTCAGGACCTTGCACTTGCCAGGCAAGCACTAATTCCACTGAGCTATTTTCCTGGCCCCTAATATATTGTATTCCTTAAAAAAAAAAAAAAAAAAAAACAACCAAAAAACCATAGAAGTAATGGCACTTTCATAGAAACAATTCATAGTAAAACCTGCAGTGCTTTATATAGCCAGAACTTATGGTTGAGCAAGTGTTCAGTGTTATAATGATTTTGAGTTACTATGTAATATAATAGAACATTTTTTTTAAATGGAACTAGACTGAGGCCGTAGATTCTATATAGAAATTAGGCCAGGGAGATAGCTCAGTAGAATAAGCACTTGCCTGGCAAGTGCAAGGGCCTGAGTTTAATCCCCAGTTCCGCAAA